TATATATATATATATATATATATATATATATATATATATATATATAGTAAATGACTCTTGTTCATCAACTTTATTTTTAAACACAACACCTATTTTGTTGGAATTGTCAAAGACTGTATTTAGAGCTCATGCTTTTGTTAAAATGTTTACAACAGTAAATAGTTTATATTCAATAAATATTATTGGTCATTGTACCAATCAGTGCATGTTAGCCATCTGACCATTTTCTAGATTACTGATGTCTTTTATGTTTAAACAAACTGCTAGAATACTTTGTCATTTCTAAGTTGACACTTTGATTATGCAGACAACCTCATCAGCCACTTAAAAAGTATTACATCTTTGAACTTGTACTTCTTTTTTCTGCTGGATATTTAGTTTGTATAGTTTCATCTGTTCCTGTGTATGTATTTTTGTGTGGAGTGTTCACAAGGGTTAAGTTAAAATAAACTTAAGGGATAGCTTGTATAACAGATTAGCTTACTATTTAACTTCATTACTATTATTTTCTTCCATTTTTAGGGATGGGTCAAGCTCTAATACCAGAACAAGCACAGGGGATAGGGGAAGTTATTATTTTTTACAAAAGATTCCATTTATTCACTCAATGTATGATTTGCTAGGCAACATGTCTTCCCTCCTGTATTATGCTGAAGACAAGACTTAAAAACAATATGTAGCTGAGTTCTCTTAGTAATCAAAACCCTAAGAACCACCAAGAAAAGTATTACTACAGTTTCTCCAATAAAAATGTTTTCTGAAGGCTTATATCCCAAGAATATTTGACTATCCCTCAGAAATACTGTATACAGGGCAAGATGTTAATTAATCAAAGGTTTATTTCCTTTTGCTGAGAATGAAATTGAGAAGCCTAATGTATTCTTTAGAAAGGTGTTTGATATTACCATTAAGAGACTTTCCTAGCTTAAATATGGGGCTAAATGCAGCCGTAAAGGTAGCTTCAATCAGGTTAATTGTGGTAACAAAAACAGCAAAAACTTTTTTTGGCTTTGTTGTGAATGCAGTCACCTGCTCTCTCCAACGTATTAGTCCCTGTTCTTGGCAGCACTATGAAAGTAACTCATGTCTTGTACTTCATTTACAAGGTGGAGGGGCTGCTGGCTAGTTAATGTAGATGTGTGCTTTCGAAAACAGGCAAAGGTCCAAACTCTAGTTTAGGGTATTTTAGTTTGTTCTCACTAATTGTTCAGCCATGATGGCCTATCTGCTATTCCATAGTCTTACATGCTTCTCTTTTTTTCTACTTTGTATTTTAGAAGAAACCTGACATATCCTCATTTTTGTACTGTAGTCACATGCTTGTCTCTTAAACTTGAGTGGGAAACCTTTTACTTACCCTCATGGACCCTGTATTAAACAACTAGGTGGTCACTGATGAAATAAATAAAATCGTTCAAACTTATTCTTTTTTAATGGGGCTGGGAAGGAAATTTTCAGAGATAAATGTGAACTTTGCCCTGATGCCAAATTTAGTGATCTGAAAGAGAAATAGACACATTGTGAACATTTGCAATTCTCTCTATAGTCTAGCATATTGCTTAACGTAAGTACACTTGGGCATTAAAAGGTTTGGTTTTCAGCCTACTTTTAAAAGCACTACTTTATCAATTTTATTCCAGAAGAATGAAACCAAACAAACCAGAAATTCAAGGCATGAAAGTAATTATTAGAAGTCTACATGCATATACAGTAAATACTACCATTACATTTTTAAGACATAATTAAAATGCTACCTGCCCTCCTAGAAACTGTATCCTGGAATATGTAAGCTGGGTAGATTTAGATTTGAGGTAATTTTGTTTCTCAATTTCTTCAAGCTAGTTTTGTAGGAAGAAAAAAAAAAAAAGCAAAACAAAACACTACCCTAATACACACAGATCTGTCTGCAATTTGGTCCGAACTATAACAACTTAAGACAGTGTTAATAAACAACACAAGTGTATTGGCATGTCAAGCTGTGAATAATCCTACCAGGAGTAAGCATTATCACTGCCCCATTCTCTATTTGGAAAACTTGCACATATATAGTTAACTAAAAGTCATACAAAAATAAAGGCATACCTGTTTTAGTTTTTTGTTGTTTTGGTTCGGTTTGGATTTTTCAAGACAGGGTAGCCCTGTCTGTGTAGCCCTGGCTGTCCCTGACTCACTCTATAGATCCACCTGCCTCTGCTTTCCCAGAGTGCTGGAATTACAAGTGTGTGCCACCATGCCCAGCTGCATACCTGTATTTTTATACTAACTTCATTTTAAAAACTTTGAACATAATTTATCTACAGATTTCTAATAACTATAACACCTATTTTATCTGGACTGACTTACAGATAATCATTTAATGATTAAACTGACTATCTAAGTTATTACTTATCTGTAGTAAAGATTTTTATTAAGACTCAAAAATCATTTTATTTTAAACCCAGATGTCAATAACTGCTTAGCATAAGATTTAGTACCTAAATACTAAATAACTACCCAGTACAGTCTACATTTAGTAGTAATTCTTAAATAGCTCACTCTACTGGAGAAATATTTGAAAAGTAATTCTAAGAGCTTCTATTTCCTTAGTACTTCTAAAGTTTACCGACTATTAAGTTGTTTTTTTTTTTTTCCTGGTATATATCTTCTAAACAGGAATATATGTTTATTTATTTTGTTCAAAACGATATAAGGATGTGTACTGCAGTTAGATTTTGGCCTCCATAGAAGGACATGATTTGCTACTAATGCTAGTGAGTTGTTATTACCCAAACTAGGTGGCATTTGGTCTGTTTTGAAGCTGTGTTTTATATAAAACAATCACAAAGAAAATATATGTAACAATTAGAAATTTTTAATATATTTTGATGTTTTCACATTGTACTATTTAAAAGAAAGTTAAATGTCAGACATGCGTCCTACTTCTGTTGGTTAATTAGCACTGCTGTAGTCATTTCCAGTGGTTAGAGAGAATCTATCAGGTCATCGTCAGTCCATTCCTCCTAAAGGAAAAAAAAAATGTAGTAAGTGTAACATTCAAGTATTGAGCCAGTTCTACTCCGTTTAAGAAATGTTGACTGATAGTCTACTGTAGATTTGTTTTTGAGACAGTCTGCTACTATGGTTGCAGCCAGCCTTGATTCCCAAGTGCTAGGACTACAAGTATATGCTACTAAGTCCTGCTCTTGATTATTATAATGACATGGACTCAGCCTGTAAAGGCTATCTTCTTACCTCTGATTATTGATCTTTGGTTTAAGAAACAATTTTTGAAAACTAGTGTAAGGAAAGGGAAACATCCTTAGAGAATAAATTTAAATTTAGCATTATTGCTTTCTATCATAGGAAGGATTCTTCAATCAAGTAACTTATACACTTACTAGAACTGGTTCATACAGTAGTGTAAAGAAACAAATCTCTTTAAAAACAGGCTCGATCAGCACCATGTAGCAAGCCACTGACCCAGATGCTCCTGCCACCTTGTACTAGTCCCTCTGCCATGCCTTCCCCTGTCATGGATTCTAATCACCTTCAACTGTTAACCAAAATCAATCTTTCACTTAAAGATTTTTAAAAAATAAAAATCAGACTGTGCATAAAGAGATGAGTAAATATAATTTCAAATTTTAGAAGTACTTTAGTCTCAGTATTTGGAGGGCTGAGGTAAAAGGACTGAGTTCAAGACCAACTTGGGGGTACAAAGCAAGTCACTGTTTCAAACATTCTCAGCTCATCTGTTTATATACATCATCCTAGAAAAATATAAAATAAGTGATATCAAGTGACATTTGGGGGTAAACATACCTCTTCCTGTTTGGGTTTCTTTGCTATATAGTCATCATCTTCATAGCCTTTCCTCTTCTTCCTATAATTAGGCAATTATCGATTAGCAAAGTGGGAAAAAAAATAACCTATAAAATAGGTATTAGCAAGGCTGTAAAGCATAACCCAGTGTGGTAGCTCACAGCTACAATGCAACTTTCAGGCTTAGGCAACAGTGTCGCCTTCAGTTCAGGCTAGCTTGGGCTTAACAGAGTGGAACCCTATTTTCAAAAACAAAAGATATCTGCTGAAGAATAGGGACTAAACGAGAAAGGGATTATTTGTGGCTACGAAGGCAATATTTAATTTGGGGTAGCAAGATCCTGCAAAGATTATTTAAAAAAACAGGCTGAGCATACCTATAAATCCCAGCACTTATGACTAATGGGATTTTACAATAATCTGTGGTTATACAGTGATACTTTGCCTCAAGTAAACATAGCAAAGAGAATGTAAAGAAATGTTGGAAGACCTTTTCTTTGTTATCTTAAAAGCACACCAAAGTGGAGCCCAGTGGTAGTACAAACCTACAATGCCCATACTTGGGTGGATAAGGCAGGAATGTTGACAGTTTGAGGCCTATGAGGTCTAACAAGACCCTGTCTGGGAACAAATAAAAAGACACACTATAAAGAAATGGTTATTAAGAGTGTGGTGTCCTAGACATCAGCAGTCAAAGTAGACAGGTAAACATGGCTCCACATATTTGCTGACAGGGTCAGTGGGTTTAGACACCAAGCCAGACAACCTGAGTTTGCTCCCCAGATCCATATGGAAAGAGAATTGACTCTTGCAGGTTGTCTTCTGCCCTCCACGCAGGCACTGGTTTACGTACACACTCAAATGCAATAAATAAATGTGATTTAAAAACTGCCCACACCTTTAGATTTGTCTGTGATAAAAATCTGTCAACATAGCCAGGCGTGGTGGCACACACCTGTAATCCCAGCACTTGGGGAGGCAGAGGCAGGTAGAGCTTTGTGAGTTCAAACCCAGCCTAGTCTACAAAGCCAAAGCAACAGAGAAAACTGTTGTGAAAAATGAACACACAAAACAAACAAAAGTTAACTAAGAAAACCATGAAACAGTATTCAAAAGCAAACTAGAAAAAAAAAACTACCTATATTGGTTAAAAAAAAAAAAAACTTACCCTTTACAAGCATTTCTTTATTTAAAAAAAAGTGTAATTATCAAAATAGTATAAGAAGTTTATAAATAACTATAATTTTTAAAGATGAGAATATGGACAGCATTAAAAGAATAAAATGACAGAACCAATGCAGAAAAACGAATACAAATGGCTATCAAACCTGGAAACATCAATGTTCATAGTAATCAGGAAATGCAAATGATCCAGGTGGTAGTATTTTTCTCACCCAGATTGGCAAGAGTTAAAGATTGGTAATGTTAAATGCATGGTGTAGACACACTGTCACAAGAAAGTATTCATGAATTTAAACACAGAAAAGGTTGGCAGAGGTTCTGGTAAGTTACTTCTGAGGATGTGATTGAGGTGTGCAGTTTAATCAAAGGGAACTTTGGCTTTTACTCAGTGAGTGACTTAGAAGAATACAGTTACTGTATAATGAAAAATGAAGGCAAATGTTTGAGTCAGCTTTGTGCTGAAGTACTGCTACTCAGTGTTGTTCATTAACTGTTTCCAGCCTGCAGTGAGATGAGTAGAAAATATACTTTGTACTTAGAAACTATATAACAATTTTAACTTCTGACATTTTAATTTAATAAAATTTGAACTTATATGTTTATTTCACTTTGTAAGAACTTTGATTGTATTTTATAAAAGTATATGTCTGTAATCATTTTTAAGTCCTTTCTGTATAAAAAAAGCAGTCAGACACACATAAGAATGTAGAATTTTCTTGGCAGAGTGCAAAGGAAAATGTAAATGCTGTGTCTATTAGAAATTTTGGATTATGGCCCATTCCATTACTAGCTAGAACAAAATTAATAGTTAAATGATCTAATCAGAAGGACAAATTAGTAAGTACTTCAGGATTTAAAGGACATGCAGTTTCTGCATAGGATAACTGGTACAATAATTATGTAAACTAATAATGGGCAGCCTATGTTCCAATTACTGTACTTCTAGAAAAAAAAAAAGGGCAGAGGCTATTTGTGGCTGCTGGACCACAGTTTGTGCATTTCAAAATCAATGTAAGAACACAGTTAAGTGCTATAGCATTTTTACTTATCAGTAGGTCAAGGTTTCTCTCTTTCTCTACAGCTTTCTGGTGTTTGCTATTTAGTACAATTACAAGATTTTCACAAAGCCAAGCTTTGAAGCCACAGCTATGTCAAAAGTCCTATATTTTGTACTTGGACTTCTCAAGTAGTCCTCTACTACAACTATAGTTAAGGAATTAAGTCATGGCTAGGGCTATCTTGTGCTTGAAGGCCTTGGCATGCTCCTTAGCTTTTTATAAATATTTTTTACCATTTCTCCACAAATCAAAGAGATCAAAATACCATCTATCTATGCCACAGCTAATTCCCATTACATGTTAATAAATAATATCAGATGAGTCCACATAAAACACATTATTATGTTAGCACATGTTTAAAAATTACTAAGTTGTAATGGATCTTTTATGCAGAGCATAACAGATTTTATGGTGAATTCCACATTATCCTACAAATGAAAAGCCATTAAGTATGCTCCTACACTTACACAAAGCAACCTAGTGGCACATTTTACTGGTTCTCTGATAAAATATTTCCTTACTAGTTTATTAAAACTAAGTTAAAAACTAAGCATTAGGTTGGTAAAGAGTCAATGTTTAACACTCAGGAAGACTGACTCCCAGTAATTCTGTAAAGTAGAAAAGCAAGCCTGATCCTGATGATCAGGATCAAAACTGGAGAATGAAAGCCCAAAATGTCTTCCTTTGTGTTTAATGCACAAAAGGCCAGGCTAGAGAGTTGAACTCTCAACATAGGCAAAAATCACTGTACTCAATACTGAAAAAAAAAAAAGGTAAACCAACTTTGTACCAGTGAAATAATTTGACCATAATTTGAACATAACTCCTGTGTCATGTCTACTTACGTCACCACATTAAGTGCAAGGTCAGCAGAATGACACCGCTCCAACTTTTGTTTCAGAACAGCAATTTCTTCAGACCTGGGTGGCTCATACTTTTTTACTAGATTTCTCATGCCTACATGGAGATACAAAAGTACTTAAGAAAAAAGTCTGTTTCAAGCTAGATGTGGTGGCGCATGCCTTCTTCACCTCCGCTCTCAGGAGGCAGAGACAGGCAAATCTGAGTTTGAGGCTAGAGCAACCCAGGAAAGCCAGGACTACACAGAAATCCTGTCTCGAAAAACAAACAATAAAAAAATGAAGTATAAACAAAACAAAATAATCTAACTTGCTGCAGGAAACAAAAGACATTGGTTATGCATGATACACATTCTTACCAGGATTTGTATTCTATATTAAAGACACCAGCCTTTTAAAGTAACTACTATCTGCTGTTTATCGCATATATATGGCATAAATATAGGCATGCTATATAATATAGGTAGTAAATTTTTTGCAAGTAACTCTATATTTACATTTTGCTCAATTTAAGGCTTTTGAAGTAATCTCTGTGATTTAGTAACTTATTCTCTACCAACAACCATGTTCATGAACATAATATACCTCACTTATCAAAAACCTAATGTGTAAAAAAAAGATGTTTCAGTACAAAACACAGCCGCTATATAAAGACATCTTTTTAGAAACATTAAAAACAAACTATAGGTCAGTAACTGTAAGATAATAAAATATCCTCTAGTTTATCATGTTATTTAACATAATAAACCAAATAAAAATCTCAAGATTTATTGCGGACATGATGTAAAGTCCAGGATCTTATTATGTGGCCATGCGCTTTCAGATTGGTAACTAAATTGGAAATTGATCCTTGTGATGTAACATCTTCCAAAAAATTATGAATACCTTCATATTAATAAAGATGAGTATTTTTGAAGCACTATTCTTGTGTCATGTATTAAAATAAGTGGAACAAATTAAAGATAATGAGAATCAGTAATTAATCTGCAAGCTTCAAATAAGATGTGTGGTCCCTTCTATTACCAAATTGTTAGGAACTACTATTAACAATTCCCAATTAGCTTTGTAAGTGAACCCTCTAGTGGTAAATATGAAGACCTACAAGTTTATAGGTGAAAAAAACAAAACAAAACAAAAAACCCTGTACTCCATTATGCTTAGAGGGATCTAAAATCACTTCAAGAAACATGCCTTGAATCCCAGCTTTTAAAATAAAATAAACATTAAATGCATATACATTTGCTGTCACCTAAATGTCTTCAATCTTGTGTTTTATTGGTTTATTCACCAATAAAACAATAAATAATAGCGTATCTCAATAAGAGCATAATTGCCAAGACAATAAAGAACTGTGTGTGGTGGCATACATACCCTACAATCCTAGTATTCACAAATCTGAGGCAAGAGATTTCAAGCTTAAGTCCACTCTGGGCTACATAGCCAGACTGTCTCAAAAACAAAATAGTGATTTATATGCCGTAAGTGTGTTTATACATACACATATATATGCATGTATTCACACATATAATTAATCATGTACAATATAATAGAGGTGAATATATAATATAGATGTATTAAGAAGAAATTTTAATCAGAATTTCTAAAGATTTTGCAACACCAGTACCAAGTTTTTGTTAACTGTTATCAAAGTCTACATTGATTTTCCAAGAGTACTATTAAAATTATCACTAAGTTGGTGTTTTAAAAAACCAACCATATTCTCTCACACTTTACCAGGAATCTGAAATTCATTTCCCTGGGTGAAAATCCCCTGTAAGGGGGCATTTTTTTTTTTTTTTTTTTTTTTTAAGTAGCATTCTTCATGGTTTTCTGTTTTGTTTTGGTTTTTGTTTGTTTTTGTTTTTTGTGCTAGGGTTTGAACAAAGAACTGGAATTTGTTACCAAAGGCTCTACCAAACCAAGTCCCCACCCAGACCCAGCTGACAAGCTACATCTTTATCAAATAAAGACATATTAAACCCCACTTGAAAATTATTGCCTTTGTTACAAAATGACCAACAATTGACAAATATTAACTAGTTAAAATTATTTTCACATGTTCCAAATATAAACTTTATCTTGAAGTTAGTTCTCTTGATTCTAAATGTCTATCACATATTTATGGATTCTTTTAAAAGAATCCTGTTTTGACTTAGCCCTTTCTAAATCTGATATCCATATTCTCTTTTTACATATAAAGTTATTTCCTCCCACATACCTTTTGCTTATTCTCACCAATGTATCTTCAACACATTCTGACACAGTAATTCAATAAAAGTAAATTGAAACAACAGTCTACCACTGTACATTAAATACCAAAATATTTATTCAGAAAGCAGCTTTGTTAATAGCACATACTTTTCATTATTTCCAGCAACTGTGACAGACAAGTTCTGTTTTCTTTCAGCAACAGACTCTCTGATAAATAGCTGTTGAAGAAATAAAAAAATAAAAAATATCGCTTTAACTCATTGAAAGCACATACCACATTGGAAACACAAGGCAGATTATTTACCTACATGTTTATTTCATCAAGAACCATTTCAGATTACTTATATTAAAATATTACATACTACTAGTAAACTCCATAGTACTCAAGCCTACAACTATTATAGTCTGAAAGACTTACTACCATTCTGCTAGATTAAGAGATGTATATTGTTAAAAGCTTGATTAAATTTCATTATATATCTTTCAGAGATACAATAATGTACTAACAGCCAATATTTATCATTTTTATATGAAATGTTTGGTACAGATATTCTACAAGCCTAACTTTATGTGATTTACAGAGTCTGAGCTATAGAGATGGATTTTACTAACCAGAAGGTAGAAGATATGGAATATGGGACCAGTCAGTTTTCTTCTCTCAGTAATGTCTTTTTACCTATAGCTGTACTGAACATTAACAAGCAATATACCACAAGATGCTGTCTCATGCTTTCAAATTATATTATTATGTCTTATGAAGTCCAGGGCAGATATATTCATGCTTTTTATATGAATGCTTTTATAAACCCTAATTATCTTTCTCTAAGAATGGTTGAAAGTAAGAAATAATTTATTTAAATTTTAGTGACTTGGAAATTTGGTGCATAAGTGCTATCTGCCTAACGAACATATTCTCAAACCCTAGGTCTTTCAAAACACACACACACACACACACACATTTTTTCCCAAGTAATTTAGTTGTAAAAATGAGTAGTTTTAAGAACTGTTATTGCTGTATTTTAAGCTACCTAGATTAAACTATGTGACAAAACTTTGATAACTAAATTAAATTTCCAACTTGTTCACCTTTGCCATCTTCCTTAAGTTTCTTTTCTCCTCTTCTTTTCGCTCTTGAAACTGACTCTCACATAGCCCATTTAGAACCAGTATAGTTGAGGATGACCTTGAACTCCTGACATTCTATTTCCATTTCCCATGTGCCAGGACTATAGATGCTTTCCCTTACAGAGGCTCCATACCTAAATTCCAGACAAGTCAGCGATTCACATGGATGTCTCTCCTACGTAGTACACGGTTTCATTTTTATATTCCTTAAGTGTTATAACAGAAACTCACTAAGTATTTGCTTAGTAAAGAAATGGGATATAAATCACAATAGAATTGTGTTTGTACAAAACAGGTACACTGGGGCTGGAGAGATGTGTCAACAGTTAATAGCACATAACTGCTCTTGCAGAAGAACAAAGTTTGATTCCCAGCACCCATGTCTGACAGCTCCTAACCACCTAACTCTAGCTCCATGGGATATGAAACCTTTTGGCTGGTCTCCATGGCAGCTATACACATGGCATATTTTTACACATGCACACAGATAAAAATAAGTATTAAAAAGAGGTATACTAAAAAAATGCCTAAGAGCACAGCCTTTTATCCTGGATGGAAATGTGACTCAAAATTTGTAATTGTTCATGTTGTATAAAACTAGCTTGGTATACAGGCTGCTTTGTGGGAAATACAGTATCTGTGGAACAGCAATATTGGTTCTTCTGTAGTAATAATAAATATTCTCAATGAAGGAGGACAAAAACTAAATCACATCTGTTCATGTTTGTTGTCTGATCATTTTACATTGAAATTTCAAGTATATAAAAATAATTTAAGTTTAGAAAAATTTACCTTCTTCAGCTATTATGAAGATGAAATAAATCTCATAAGATAAATTAAATCAAAACAATAAGTATAAATTGGAAAACAACTGGCATATAAAAATTATTCTAATTTGCCATTCTTTCAGCACCCTAGTAATACCTTTAGAACTGGTATTCTTACAAGTGTAAGAATTAATATGTGCATAAGATACTATTAAAATATCAAGTGGATTTAATTCACATAAAGTACTCATCCCACCTAAATGTCTGCCTCTGTGTGTTTATATACTAGCTATTACTATTTATGGCTCAACTTAAAATTTTATATCGATATGCATTACTTCTACAAATCCTTACTCAATGTGTTACCCATGTTGCCTACAAATTCATCAACTTGTAAATTTGATATACTGGTAGCTGTAGTTGCTAAAACTACCGTTTCCATTTCTACTTTTGTCAGACATGTATTCTTATTAAATACTTTCTTTAAAAGAGCTTTCTTTCTTCAATCACAGAACATATAACAGATAAATAAGGCATTATATAGACAAAGACAACTTAAAAACTCAGACACTATTAAGTAAAACTTGAATTTCAACTAACAGGAAACAAATTAATACCTTTCCATGGTAATTCCAGCCCTAGAGGCGCTTGACAAAATGGCAGTCAGGGCAATTTGTGAAGGTGTGTACAAAAGATAAGCATCTGTCAGTGCAATTCTACTAAGAAAATCATCAGCTGTTTTCCTTAAAATCTCTGGATTCTCCAACATGGGGTATCGAGTCTAGAAAGAAAGTGCACAGATGTTACAATTTCTGAGTTTATTGGAGAGCAAAACTATTTTAAAAATATAGTAACTAGTAGGTGCTTAATAAAAAAATGGTTTTAAAAAAGTAACTCCTTTCCCATTTTCCAAAAACTATTCTTTCAGTGTTATTGTTTGGTATTTACTGATAGAACATAATTAAATTATAGTCATGAAATTCTAAACATTTTCAATATGGCTTTTAAACTTTTTGGAATACACCATGATTAGAAATATACGCTTAAGTTTGGCTCTGGGTCTTAGCATCTGCTTCAATACCCTGCTGGGTAGACTCTTTTCAGAGGCCCTCTGTGGTAGGCTCCTGTCCTGTTCTGTTTTCTCCCTCTTCTGATGTCCATCCCATTTGCATTTCTGCATGAGGACTGATCATCTTACTCAGGGTCCTCCTCTTTGCTCAGCTTCTTTAGGTGTACAGACTTTAATATGTTTATTCTATATCATATGTCTAACATCTACTTATAAATGAGTATATACCATGTGTGTCTTTCTGCTTCTGGGATACCTCCCTCAAGATGATCTGTTCTAGTTCCCACCATTTGTCTAAAAATTTTATGATTTCCTTGTTTTTAATTGCTGAGTAGTATTCCACGGTGTAAATTTACCACAATTTCCATATCCGTTCCTCAGTTGAGGAACATTTGGGTTGCTTCCAGATTCTGGCTATTATGAATAAAGCTGCTACGAACATGGCTGAGCAAATGTCCTTGTTGTATACTTGAGCATATTTTGGATATATGCCTAGGAGTGGCATAGCTGGATCTTGAGAAAGGGTCAGACTGATTTCCAAAGTGGGTGTACAAGGTTACATTTCCACCAGCAATGGAGAAGGGTTCCCCTTTATCCACACCCTCTCCAGCATGTACTGTCACTTGAGACAAAATTTGGGCAGAGTGCAGGGAATCTTATGAAAAAATCTTATGTCCTCGAGGGGACAGGAGTTCCACAGGAGAGCAACAGAATCAAAAAATCTGGGCACAGGGGTCTTTTCTACAGGGGACTAATACTCCAAATCAAGGACCATGCATAGAGATCACCTAGAACTCCTGCACAGATGTAGCCCATGGCAGCTCAGGATCCAAGTGGGTTCCCTAGGAAGAGGAACAGGGGCTGTCTCTGACATGAACTTAGTGGCTGACTCTTTGATCACCTAATCCTGAGGGGGAAGCAACCTTCCAGGCCACAGAGGAAGACAATGTAGACAGTCCTGATGAGACCTGATAGGCAGGGGGTCAGATGGAAGAGGATGAGACCTCCCCTATCAGTGGACTTGGGGAGTGGCATGGGAGAAGAGGGAAGGGAGGGGACAAAGGAGGGGGCTATAGCTAAAATACAAGGTGAATAAATTGTAATTAATAAAAAAATAAATTTAAACAAAATAATAAAATATATGCTTAAAAGAACAAAACAGAGAAGTATATGCTTTAAGACAGTAGTACTATTATTCTTAATTTAGTCCTTTTCTGTTAGAAATGGAGGCTCCTAGAAATTTTACTGGATTCAAGGCAGACCCAGGATATATTAAGATATATACTCTAAGGTTAAAACTTGCCTGGCAGTGCAGGCCATTGTAAGGCTACATTAGGACACTGTTGTACTACTTCACTGTCATAGGGAATTCGTTCTAATGTATATTGTGTGTTTGTGTGTGTGTGGGGGGGGGATGGAAATGAATGTTGGACCAGTCAACCTTCCAAAATATCTACAGAAATATTTTTAGACTATGCCCAAGAACTCTGGAAGACCTTATAGAATCTGTCAGTTCCTAAGTTTCAGTCTCTCAAACTGACTTCAGGTACTGATAGTCATGGTCTGAAACAAAATAGCAAGTTCATCTATAGAATCATGGTTTTAGTCTTTGTTGCCAAATGTCTGACCTCTGAAATGATAAATATAGTCACTCCCCTTTCTCAGGATTTTGCCTAATTTCTCCATGATGTTCTAGTAAATCTCAGACCATTTGGTTATGAATCAGATGACCTGATCTGACTTAACAGAGTCTTCAATCATTTTTTCCTGTATTTTTTTATGTATATGTGTCCATGTTTGTTTTGGTGTATGTAATATGTGCACAGTGTCCACAGAGACAAAAAAGGGTATCAGAACTCCTAAAACTGGAGTTACAGGCAGTTTTGAACCACCAGATGTAGGTGTGCGGAATTGAACTCAAGTCTCCTGGAAGAGGAGCAAGCACTCTAACTGATGAGCAATCTCTGAAGCCCCAATTTCAACAGTATCTGTATCTTATTTCTATACTTTGGATTTCTGGGCACTGCCAGAAAAATCTACAAAAGTGGTCTTGGGATACTACTGTAAATTCAAATTCACCGACCTTGGTATGTCTACCAAGGATGTTTTCCTAGAAAATTTGTTCTTCCATTTGACAGTAATAATAGTCAACATTTTCTATGTTTGTCCTGTCCTTAGTAAGCATTAAATCTAAAACAAAACAAAACAAAGCACTATTTCCACAAAATCTCCAAATTCAACAGCATCTTAAACTCACTTTCCCTTTTTATCATGCTAACTAAAAACCCTGTACATTCTCTAAAGCCAATTGTACCCTGTTCCAAACCCCATGCACCCTCCTTCATACTGTTGATAATCTTCAGTTCTACTGTATAGTCTGTTTCCTTTTAATCTTCTTTTAATTTATTCATTCATTTATTTATTACTATTGTTTCACTTTGTACCCTGCTGTAGCAACCTCTCTCATCCACTCCTAGTCCCACCCACCCCCTCCTCTTCCCTCTCTATGCCCCTTCCCAGGTCCCATGATAGGGGAGGACCTCCTCCCCTTCTATCTGACCCTTAGCTATCAGTCTGATTAGGGCTGGCTGCATCATCTTCTTCTCTGGCCTGACAAGGCTATACCCAAAGGGGGTTTGAACAAAGAGCCATCCACTGAGCTCATATCAGAGACAGCCTCTGATCTCCTTACTAGGGAGCCCACTTTAAAACTGAGCAGCCTATGGGCTTCCTCGGAGCATGGGGTCTAGGTCCTCTCCATGCATGCTCCTTGGTTGGAGTACTGGTCTCTGCAAGACCACATGGGCCCAGGTGTTTTGACTGTTGGTTTCCCTCTATCTCCCTCTTCTTCCATAAGGTTTCAGGCACTCTGCTGAAAGTTTGGCTATGAGTCTCAGTATCTCCTTCAATGCCCTGCTGGGTATAATCTTTCAGAGGTGCCTTGTGAAAGGCTCCTGACCTATTCCTTGTCTTCTCCTACTTCCAAGGTCTATCCTGTTTGCCCTTCTAAGTGAGGTTTCAGCCTCTTCCCTAGGGTCCTCCTTGTTGTTTAGCTTCTTCAGGAGTATAGATTTCGGTATGTTTATCCTATATTAGATGACTAATATCAACTTGTAAGTGAGTATATACCATATGTCTTTCTGCTTCTTGGTTACCTCATGCAGGATGATCTTTTCTAGTTCACACTAGAAATGAATTTGCCTGCAGATTTCATGATTTGTTTTTTAATCGCTGAGTACTATTCCATTGTGTAAATGTGCCACACTTTCTTTATCCATTCCTCGGTTGAGGGACATCTAGGTTGTTGCCAGATTCTGACTATGACAATTAAACTATGAACATAGTTATAGTTGAGCAAATGCTGTTATTGAATAGTAGGGCAGCTTTTGGGTATATGCCTAGGAGTGGTATAGCTCGATCTTCAGGTATACCTGAAGCGCCAGCTTGATTTCCAAAGTGGTTGTACAAGGTTAAATTCCCACCAGCAATGGAGGAGGGTTCCCCTTTCTCCACATCCTCTCCATCATGTGTTGTCACTTGAGTTTTTCATCTTAGGCATTCTGATGGCTATGAGGTAGAATCTCAGGGTCATTTTGATTTGCATTTTCCAGATGACCAAGGACATTGAACATTTAAGTGTTTCTCTGCCAATTCTATATTCCTATACATAGAATTCTGTTTAGCTCTGTACCCCAATTTTTAATTGGATTACTTGGTTTGTTGGTGTTTAACTTCCTCAGTTCTTTATATAGTCTGGATATTAACCCTCTGTCAGATGTAGGGTTGGTTAGGATCTTTTCCCAGTTTATAGGCTGTCATTTTGTTCTGACGACAGTGTCCTTTGCTTTACAGAAGGTTTTCAGTTTCATGAGGTCCCATTGATTGATTGTTGTTTTTATTGGTATTCTGTTCAGAAAGTTGTCTCCTGTGCCAATGAGGTCATGGCTCTTCCCCACTTTTTCTTCTAACAGATTTAATGTGTCTGGTTTTATGTTGAGATCTTTGATCCACTTGGACTTTACTTTTATGCAGGGTGACAAATACAGATTTATTTGCATTTTTCTACATGTACCATTTGTTGAAGATGCTATCTTTTCTGCATTGTATTGTTTTGGCTTGTCAAAAATTTCCGTAGGTGTGTGGTTTTATTTCTGGGTCTTTGATTCGATTCCATTGATCAGCCAGTCTGTTTCTATGCCAGTCCCACACTGTTTTTAATAATGTTGCTTTAAAATACAGCTTGAGGTCAGGCATGGAGATACCTCCAGACGATCTTTTATTGTACAGGATTGTTTTAGCTATTCCGGGTTTTTCATTTTTCCATGTGAAATTGAGAAACATTCTTTCTAGGTCTGTAAAAATATTTGTGTTGATGGGAATTGCATTGAATCTGTAGATTGCTTTTGGTAGGATAGCCATTTTCCCTATGTTAATACTACCAATCCATGACCATGGGAGATCCTTCCATCTTCTGATTTCTTCTTCAATTTCTTTCTTCAGAGACTTGATTTTTTTTTTTTTTTTAATACAGGTCTTTCATTTGCTTGGTTAATGTCACACCAAGGTGCTTTTATGTTATTTGTGGCTACTGTTAATGGTGTTTGTTTCCCTAATTTCTTTCTCAACCCTTTTGTCTTTTGTATACAGGAGGGCTAATGTTTTTTGTTGTTGTTTTGAGTTAATTTTGTATCCAGCCACTTTATTGAAGTTGTTTATCAGTTGAAGGCATTCTCTGGTTGACTTTTTAGGGTCACTCATGTATACTACCATATCATCTGTGAATAGTGATATTTTGACTTCCTTTCCAATTTGTATTCCCTTGATCTCCTTTAGTTGTCTTCTTGCTTTAGCTAGGCCTTCAACATCTATGTTGAAGAGATTAGGAGAGAGTGGGCAGCCTTGCCTTGTCCCTGATTTCAGTAGGATTGATTTAAATTTCTCTCCGTTTAGTTTGATGTTGGCTATAGGACTGCTGTATGTTATCTTTACTATGTTAAAGTATGTGCCTTGTATCTCTAATCTCTCCAAAACTTTAAACATGAATGGATGTTGGATTCTGTCAAATGCTTTTTCGACATATAAGGAGATGACCACGTGTTTTGTTGTTTTTTTTTTTTTTTTCAGTTGGTTCATGTGGTAGATTACATTGATAGATTTTTGTATACTGAACCACCACTGAATGCCTGAGATGAAGCCTACCTGGTCATGGTGGATGATATCTTTAATGTGTTCTTGGTTTCAGTTTGGAGTATTTTATTGAGTATTTTTGCATCAATGTTCATAAGCGAGATTGGTCTCAAGTTCTCTCTTTGTTGGGTCTTTGTGTGGTTTACATATCAAGGTGACTGTGGCTACACAGAATGATGTTGGTAATGTTCCTTCTGTTTCTATTTTGTGGAATAGTTTGAAGAGTATTCCTATTATCTCTTCTTTGAAGTGTGGCAGAATTCTGCACTGAAACTGTCTTGCCCTGGGCTTTTTTTGGATGGGAGACTTCTGGCCACAGATTCGATTTCCTTACAGGATATAGAACTATTTAATTTATTTACCTGAACTTGATTTAGTTTTGGTAAATGGAATCTATTAAGAAAATTATCCATTTCATTTACATTTTCAACTTCTGTTGTGTATAGGCTTTTGAAGTAGGAGCTAATGATTTTTTTGGATTTCCTCAGTGTTTCCTGTCATGTCCCCCTTTTCTTTTCTGATGTTGTTGATTTGGATAGTGTCTCTCTAACTTTAAGTTAGCTGGAGGTATTTCTATCCCTGATCTCAAGCATATAGAGCAGCAGTAATAAAAACGGCATGGTACTGGCACAGAAACAGACTGGCGGATCAACGGAATTGAACTGAAGATTCAGAAATACACCTAAACACCTACAGATACTTGATTTTTGACAAATAAGCCAAAACCATACAGTGGAAAAAAGATAGCATCTTCAAAAAATGGTACTGGTTTAACTGGATGTCTATATGTAGAAAAATGCAAACAGATCCATATTTATCACACTGTACTAAAGTCCAAGTGGATCAAAGACCTCAACATAAAACCGGACACACTAAACCTGATAGAAGAAAAAGTGGGGAAGAGCCTTGACCTCACTGACACAGGAGCCAACTTCCTGAACACAACATCAACAGGACAACTACAGATATCTAGTCTTATCTGATGGTATAATGGTTATTATGGTTGTCAACTTGACAATATCTGGAATTAAATAAAACCCAAAAATGGCTGCACACACCTATGAGTGATTTTTGCTTAATTAATTAATTAAGTGGGAAAATCTACTTCTAATTCAGAGTTCTGAGTTGGAAAGTTACACATTTCAGATTGCTTGAGGTCGTAAGACTCACCTGTAATCTGGGTCACACCTTCTGCTGTCTATGTAAAAAGGACATGAAAGAAGAAAGCCACTCTTTTTGCCTGCTTGCTCTTGCCTTACTACCAAGTCCATTCCTTCACTGGCATTAGAGCCTACTTCTTTGTGATTCCAATGTATACTGGAGACCAGCTGCGAAATACAGCCTCATATACCTAACAGTTACTGAATTTTTAAGCAGCTATTGTTGGATTAGCTAGACTACAGCCTATAAGTCATTTTTTAAAACCCCCTTTATCTATAGATTCTGTTACTCTAGAGAAGCCCAACTAATACAGACAAAAACTAAACTGTGAGGCTGTCAACATGCCACTTTTTCATTGCAAACCCAAGTCTCTAAACAAGCCTTCACTGTCTTCTTTTTCCTTTGTTGAAAATTTTCAATACTACTTATACAGTCTAGACTCCTGCCTTTAAATCAAGCTGCAACACTCATTCCCCCTATCCCCAGGTTCTTCATATCTTACGTGAGCTATGAATTAGAGCTATTGACTAGGAAGGTCTCTGGGCACGATGTCCTTTCCTCACCTAATTCCTACTCTTGATCAGACTCTCAGTTCAAGTGATCCTTTCTCAACAATGTCTTCCTTGCTTTTCAATCTGCCATCTTCTTATGAAATATTTTTAATTCCCTATATAAAATTTAGCACACTAATAAAGAGTTACCTAAAATATTAAACTGTAAGGTCCATGAAAATTGTCACATTCCGGTCTTGTTTCTAGGCTGCAACCCCCAAACGTAATGTTTAGTGTAAACAGAATATTAATAGATGCTTAATGAGAATAACCAATAACTTCAGTTGATGATGTCAATATTTACATAAGTGTCAATATGTAAATATAAGTGCTATACATAAAATACAAATGTACATATTTATATTACATATTTGTGATGCAGTTGTACTACATTGCCAGACTAGTCTCAAACTCCAAGGTTCAAGTGGTCCTTCCATCTAAACTTCATAGAACCTAAAACTACAGATGTCAGCTACTTATAATTTTGGTGCTTGTATTTGTGACCTGAGTTCATAAAACATTACAAATAAGATCAATTTACCTTTTGGTTTAATTACAAAAACACTTTGAGGTTCTATAAGTCACTAAGCCCAGATCTATGATAATATACATTGATTAGAAGAGTTTCCATAATTCTTTAAGAGCATTCCTATAATCACGCAATCTACTGCAGAAGATTACTAAAACAGAAACCTGGGAATTCTTACCCAACCATCTAAGAAAAAAGCTCTCCAGATGGACTCTAATGTATCTATGTTATACCATCTAGGATATTTCTGGTTATAAAGTTTTCAATTCTTTTTAGCAAACAATAACAACAAAGTATATCTTTAGCTAATTTCCTGTCAATAAATTTACCTTTATATCAATTAGGAAGCCTTCAAATGGTCTATAAGGATTGTGGACAATAAGGTGAAAATTAAGTTGCTGTATAAGTAGTAGTTCATATTCCAAAATCTGTTCCAGTGCCTTTTCCTGTCCAAGGGGACTCTCTCGAAGATTCCCAACAAACTGAGGACTAGACACATTGAATTCATCGACTTTGCAGGCCAGAAATGCACAAGTGAGCCTACATGGAAAGATAGCGGAGGGCAGAAATATTTAAATATTCCTTAAAGTACTTTGTAAATCACTTAATATTTATATGTTACTATGTTAGATAGTGCAGAGAATAAAATGAAACAGAAGTTAAAAGAGCTCCTCTTTAGACTTCTATCCATTAGGAGACTTAGGAGAACTATAAAATTAGGTTGAGCCATCATCTAATACTACTACAGCATTCAGTAACTAACTGATAGCTTCATATAGTACAACCAGAAACCTGGAAAAAATAACTAAGGATTAAAAGTAATGTGCATCAAGAAATATAAATGGAAGAGTTAACATAAAAACAGAATGGAATATATGTATTTAGCATGACCAAGAAAAACAGGAAAAGGTAATTAATATTGTAGACAGGGTCATCAGTAGAAGTCTCAAGTCATTTGAGTATGGGATGTTTGCTTATAGCAAACATAAAATTCACCTGAGTATGAAATTAAGTTCAAAGAGAACTAGTACAAAAGCTACCATTATAGCTTTTAGAAGCTGAAGTCACAATAAAGGCCTGAGCTTGACTAGTGGGAATGGAATGGGAAAAACAAATAAATAAAAACAGGAATGACAGCAAACTGTTAGATGAGTCTTATATTAATTCTGTTCTCATCTTTAATGATAAGCATAATGCTTACTCAAGAAAACTGTTTAACAAAATGAATATGAAGATAAACATCTGCAAACTGAATGGAAATGTAGAGGAAGCAATTGCCACAAATGCTTGAGCAATTGGGAGAATAAAGGTGTCATTGACAAAGATATCAAGAAAAACTATGTGAATGGTAGACAAGTTGTAGTTTACATGTCATTAGCAATATAGAAGATAATGGCAAGTACGGAGACCTTGTAGTCAAATAGAAAAAAAAAAAAAGAGAATTCAAGTCTAAATTGTCCTTAATTAAGTCAATTATCTCTCATATATATATATATATCCCATTGGTAAATGTCCACAATAAATTTGTACTCACATTATTATCCGGGGGTGATATTCCATTACTGAATTATTAAGATAGAAACGCTTGAAATACATACAAGCTGTACCCTAGGATTAAAAGAAAAAAGTATATACACATCTAGAAAAGCAGAATCTACTTGCATGTTACATGTTAAATTTTGAGAAAATAACTTATTCATGAAGGTTCTCCATACCAATACTTCTGAATTTTCCTTTAATAAATAAACTGTGATAAAGTACAACAAAAACACCACAATCAAAAGAGCCATTCTTATTTTTTTAGCTATTTGTCCAGAGCCTATGTGGAGTAATTCTTTCTTCAGTCACTGAATTTAAAAATGTATGTGTGTGAGTATTTCAGAATTAAGAGCAACACGAATACTAATAATCAGAACATTTTAAAGACTAAAATACCAATAATCACAGGTTACCCAATATTGAGAAAATGCTAACAGCAAAAAGCAAAAAAACAAAACAAAACAAAATACAAAATCAACTTTTCTTTTTCCCTCTGTCAACTCCAGGTCTGTGATGACCTGTGATGCCTACTGCCAACCTGCAGAACCTCACATTTCCCTGAATGTGTTTAGTGGGATTAGTAAATCCCACTGTGCAAAACACAAGAGTAACAGTCTCTTCCAATCCTTATGTCACATCAGTAAAATATTACCATCGCCACAGTAAAAGAGTCATGAGTTATCTGGTTTATTCAGACATTTATCAAGGGTCAAAGGCTATCTTCAACTATTGTCTCACTTAACAAAACAGTAAAATAACCACTTATTTATTTAATAACAGGAAAAATCATTCATTTACACACTTAAAAGTTGCCATAAATTTACGTTAAACAACAACAAAATCACTGTATATTTCATAGAGTTAATTAAAGGTTTGTTTGACCCAACAGATAATTTAATCCTACCAGCTCATTCTACAGTTCCCATAATGAAAAAAAAAAAAAAAAAAAAAAAAAAAACAGATTTCATCATAGACACTAATCAACTGTATCTGATACTGTTTATGAGTGTGTCCTCTCTCAGGAAAGCTTGCAACTTAAAAATGAACCATAAACACTTGTGTATTTAATATTTTCAATGTTCTTCCATTTTTTTTTTATTTTTTTTATAAAACTAGAGGAGTCTGGATTATCCTTCTTTATTAGGTCATAGAACATTCACTCTTTGAAAAACTTTAAAACAGCCTTCCATACTTGACCTATACAACTAACAAGCCATGAGAGTAATATGCAAGGCAAAGTGGTTTAGACACTCTTAACACCATCTTTTTTTGTTGTTTAGCTTTCTAACACAGGTTAGATATTCCTTCTCACCACTGTCCAACTCAGTAAAAAAGACAACATGAAGAACAATATAAACTAATCCTGAAGCATTTGAGCCTGGGATATAGTACAGCTGGGAGAATGCCTGTCAGGCATGCAGCCCTGGGTTTGACCCCGAGTGTTAAATAAAACCATATATGTAGTCCTTCAAACCCAGCATTTGTGAGGCTGGAGTACTAGGATCAGAAATTCAAGATTATCCTCTGGAATAATGAATTCAAGGCCAATATGACCTGTATAAGACCATCTCAAGAAAACAAAACCAACAAACAAAACCACCAAGAAAACAGTAATAAAGTCAAAGGTAAATCTCTAACTTCTTCTAATAAAAGGTTTAAAAGTCCTTATTACAAGAGTAGCAGCTGGAACATAAATTAATGCATTATTTCAAACAGAAGCTGAGTTCAGCAGACTTGAAAAAGTACGAGGCTATACTTTAATATCAATTCTACTATTCTCTAATAAAGAGTATGAGAAAGAAAAATGATTTTTCTTTTTCCAAAAAATAAGGCTGTCACAAACTGTACATCAGAATATGAAATGACACTGGAGATGGCCTAACTCATGAAGTATAAATCTCAACAAAATTAGTTTTTCTGGCATTCATTATACTGATACATCTATGAATATACCAGTATTTAATAATATAACTGATTCATATACAACTTTCACTTAAGCTTCTTATGTGGCTAACTACTGATTAAAATTCATGCTTTGATTCAGGGAACTAAATTTCTAGGAAAAAGCCATATTTCTCAGCAATGCTTTTGTCTGTTATGGTTAACAGAATTAGTGGAATGACTGTCACTTTTCAGCCCAAGGTTCAAACAGCAGCTATGCCTTCTCCACAGTTCCCTCTTGTCCCCTCCAGAAGCAAAGGCTCACTATGTTTGGCACTACTAGAGTCACAGAGGGCAGGAGCATAAGTTCTATCTAGTCATGACATACAAGAAGGCACTTTCTGATGAGACAGCCTATACTGGGCCACACTGCAAGAAGTAAACTACTAAAGGTTTTTTGTTGTTTTTGTTCCTGTTTTGCCATTATAGTTGGCCAAATAGTTTGCAACCTATTTAGTGCTACATTAAGGATAACTCTAACATCAATAAAATTTTGTTACCAGAAAGAGAGTGACAAAATAAACAGACACAATTATGGAGAGTCTTCTAGAGTGACAAGAGAATTAGAAGTTCAGAATAGTGTAGTTCTCACAAGCCAGCTGAAAGGCATTATACTTTACTACTCTTACTTACCACAACAGATCGAGGCATTGCTGGTTTAAATACTGAACAAAATTCCAGTAACCTTTTCTCATAGTATTTGCAAAGTGTCATTTCTTCATGAGGCTCAAGAAACACTGGATCATTTGGAAGAACCTTTAGACAAAGCAAACATTTCAAAATTAATTGTATTAGTTGTAATTAATTGAATTACTTATTAATTGAATTAACTGTAATTGATTGAATTAATTGTAAATTTGTCCCTGTCTTGCTTGAATGTTTTAGATCTTGAACGAATATACTTAACCTCATTTTCTCTTTGTAAGTTTGCTAAGCATTATACAAAATATCTAAGAAAATGATAAGCAAAATAAATAAACTGAATCTAAACCATCATTTTACAACTTCCCAAACTGTCAGTTGGACATTTTTAAACAACCATGGTAGAGCATGTGCCAATATGCTCCCAGGTTTGATGACACTATTTGTAAGTTAAAAAGGAGATATATATTTTCACTACTTGGAAATCTCCCAAAGTTCCTTTCTTAGTGAATCAGCGTGTCACCCAAATTAAACAGCAAATGACTCAGTGCATTTGCTTCCTCATTGTTTGGAGTATACATCCCATTTACTTGAAATCTGTAGGAGCCACTGCAAAGTTACAAGTCAGTACAACAGAAATCAGTGACAGAGCGGAAAAAAGACCTGCATAGAGGGCCATAGACCAAGCTATATATAGTCTTCTGACTAGTTTCAACTCTCTATTTCCTTTCCATGTGCAACCTTCTCAGAGAAGGTTGTTTCTGAAAAGAAGATACAACAAGCCACCATTTCCCGATTTCAAGTATTTGAAAATTTCCCTTTAGTTTGGATGAATTTCAACCTCCTCATACTGACGCTTACAAGTTCCTTGTCTCCGTTCTTCAACCGCTGCTGCAGAAGTACAGCTTCACCCACTAATGACCACAAACACCCACGCACCTGTTCGCAATTCTGACTTCCCACTTGGCACCAGCGGCTGTGTCTGCCCGGACCATCCTTTGCCCCTGCCTGATACCCTACAGGACAAGGGATTAGTTCCAGTCCTGCACTACCTACCCACCAAGGCTCCAGGCCAGTTCCCCAGGATGTTACTGGTCCCTCTGCCACCTACATCTCCGGACTGGGGTCGCGCGTCCGTGTCTATTTGACTCAGCCAGGTACGTGCTCACGCGCTTCCCGCCCGTCGCAGCAAAGCTGGGACTTGGGAAGGGCCCGCGGCTTCCCGCAGCCACTCGAGGGCTGGTGTACAAGAACCTCACCTTCCCATTAGCCACCGCTTTGCACTTGAATTTGCGGTTGGCGTCGGCCCGCAGTCGCGCCAGCTGCTCCTCGCCAGCGAAGGTCCAGTGCCGCTTCTGGCTGCTGCTGTGGTACATGGTGTCGCCGTCACGTTTCGGGCTGAAAGGCCGAAACAGCACTAGCGACACGCAGGGAAACAGCTACCACCCGAGATTACAATCGCGCGGAACCAGCCGCCTGAAGAGACGCGCGAGTGACGTCACGATCACGTGTCGACGTCTGCTGTGGCATTTCCGGAGGTCTCGGGAGGTGTTCCGCGACCCGAGAGGGTAGGGCCTCAGGAGCTCTCAGACGTGCGGGGAGGAGCCTGAGGGGGCGTACCCGGGAGGATCAGAAAGTGGGCGTGGCCAAGGAGACTCCAGTCTGAGAGAGAAGTTGACAGGGGTTCCAGATTGGTTCTTAGAGGACACATGGGCTGATCCCAAGCCTTAGGCGGATGCCCGACAAAGGGGTGGCATTTGGATGCCTATTCAACCTACAGTTAATGCCACCTTTCTCTGGGAGGTTTTCAGTTCCTCCCCTCATCCCCATCTGTGAGCCAAAAAGAACACCAGTTTTACAGTTTTTGGTATGTCAAACGATTCTAACAATAAACTATCATAATGCTTAAGAGCCTTACCTTCTGCTTTTTTAATTAAATTTTTATTTTTTATATTAATTACAGTTTATTCGTTTTGCCTCCCAGCTGTAGCCCACTCCATACTTCCCTCCCTCATCTCCTATGACCCTCTCAAATCCACGGATAGGGGAAGTCCTCCTCCCCTTCCATCTGACCCTAGTTTATCAGGTCTCATCAAAACTGGCTGCATTGTCCTCCTCTGTGGCCTGGTCAGGCTGTTCCCCCCTCGGGGTGGGGGCGGGGAATCAAAGAGCAAGCCATTGAAATCATGTCAGAGACAGTCCCTCTTCCCCTTACTAGAATACCCACTTGGATACTGAGCTGACATGGGCTACATCTGAGCAGGGGTTCTAGGTCATCTAGGTTATATTCATGAATGGTGCTTGGTTGGAGTATCATTCTCAGAAAAGACCCCTGTGCCCAGATTTTTTGGTTGCGTTGCTCTCCTTGTGGAGCTCCTGTCCTCTCCAGGTCTTCCTATCTCCCCCTTCTTTCCTAAGATTGCCTGCCCAAAGTTTGTTAATGAGTCTCAGAATCTGCTTTGATACACTGCTGGGTAGAGTCTTGCAGAGGCCCTCTGTGGTAGGCTCCTGTCCTGTTTCCTGTTTTCTCCTTCTTCCAATGTCCATCCCATTGTCTTTCTGAGTGAGGACTGATCATCTTACCCAGGGTCCTCCTTGCTTAGCTTCTTTAGGTGTACAGATTTTAGAATGTTTATCCTATATATTGTATGTCTAATATCCACTTGTAAGTGAGTATATACCGTGTGTCTTTCTGTTTCTAGGATACTTCACTCAGGATGATATTTTCTAATCCTACCATTTACCTGCAGATTTCATAATTTCTTTGTTTTTAATTGCTGAGTAGTATTTCGTTGTGTAAATGTACCATAATTTCTGTATCTGTTCCTCCACCGTGGGACATCTGGGTTGTTTCCAGGTTCTGGCTATTACAAATAAAGCTGCTGTGAACATGGTTAAATAAATGTCCTTGTTGTATACTTGAGCATATTTTGGATCTATGCCTAGGACTGGTATATTCCTCAAGTGAATACTGAGGAAGCACTATTTCTAATTGTCTGAGAAAGCACCAGATTGATTTCCAAAGTGGTTGTACAAGTTTACATTCCCACCAGCAGTGGAGGAGAGTTCCCCGTTCTCCACATCCTCTCCAGCATGTGATATCCCTTGAGTTTTTTTATTTTAGCCATTCTGATGGGTGTAAGTTGAAATCTCAGGGTCGTTTTAATTTGCATTTTTCTGATGACTAAGGATATTGAGCATTTCTGTGTTTCTCTGCCATTCTATACTCCTCTACAGAGAATTCTCTTTTTATCTCTTACCCCATTTTTTAATTGGATTAGTTGATGTGTTGCTTTTTAACTTCTTTAGTTCTTTATATATTCTGAATATTAGACCTCTGTCAGATATAGGCTTGGTGAAGATCCTTTACCAATCTGTAGGCAGTCTTTTTGTTCTGACAACAGTGTCCTTTGCTTTACAGGAGCTTTTCAGTTTCATGAGGTCCCATTTATTGATTGTTGACCTTAGAGCTTGTGCTGTTGGTGTTCTATTCAGGAAGTTGTCTCCTGTGCCAATGACTTCAAGGTTTTCCCCACTTTTTCTTCTAACAGGTTTAGTAGTGTGTCTGGCTTTATACTGAAGTCTTTGATCCACTTGGGTTTTAGTTTTGTTCAGGGTGAGAAGTATGGATCTATTTGCATTTTTCTACATGTAGACATCCAGTTAGACTAGCACCATTTGTTGAAGATGCTGTCTTATTTCCATTGTATGGTTTTGGCTTCTTTGTAAAAAATCAAGTATCCACAGATGTGTGGGTTTATTTCTGGGTCTACCTTCTGTTTTTTAAAATTATTGTTATTAGGACTTTCAAAATTGCATTTGTGATACCAAGTTTGCGTTGGTTCCAAAGCCTTTGTTTTTGGTTTTTCTCATTTTCTTTTTTAGAGGGAGCGCACAAAGCAGTCCCCTACTGCCATAAAATGTGCAATAGTTTTTCTCCCTTTCTTCCTGCTTAACCCCCTTACTTGTCTCACCATGGACTAGAACTTATTCTTTAGTTGAGTGTGGCTTCAAATTTATGATCCTCCTTGCTATGCCTCTCAGGCTCTGGAAACACAGGAATGCATGACCACAGGCACACACATTATCTTCAGGTCATATTTCATTGCTTATAAATGGGGGCTATAAAAAATCCATTCTAGTCTCCTAGAAGAAGAATATTTAAACTCACAACTCAATGACAAAGATACTGTTTTACTACATACTACAACTAAGTAAAATATTGATAGGATAATTTTCAGTGTTTTAAAAAATACAAATGTCTTTGTGCAGCAGTTCTTAAAATTGTGCTTTGTATTATTTTTAAATACATTCTAAGTATTCTGAGTGCCAATATAACCTGTAATCCAAGAGTTGCAACCAAAGATCTGACTTTACAGAGCACTTATTGCCTGTGGGTCTCCAAAGAAAGCCTTTACATGTTTTGCTAATGTTACCTGAAAGAGCATACACAGTATTGGGAATTTCTTTCTTGCTTTGGGAAATCTTCCCACTTTTTAAAGCCTTATCCTAAAGACCCTAATGTTGTAAGAAAAAATAACAAATCTGAGACTGTATGTTCCTAACACACAGGAGGAAAAGGGGACCCAGAAGAAGGGATCAGTTTTATTTATGCAACTAAGGAAAATTTTTGCATGTCTTTGTGTGTGTGGTGTATGTGTGCATGTTTATATGTGTAACTTGCAAGTAAAAGCCCACAGCTGATATTAGGTGTCCTCAGTCTCTTTCCATTGTATTTATTGAAGCATCATCTTTAAATGAAACCAGAGTTCTCCAGTCTCTGCTAAGCTAGCTAGCCTACCTGCCCTGGAGAGTCCCCCCACCCCATCTCTGCCACTAGAGTCATGGGCGGGATTACAGATAGTCAACAGGCATGCTAGATTTTCACTTGAGTTCTAGGCATGCTAAATCTGGTCCTTGTGTTTGAGAGGCAAATACTTACTCCAGTGGTCGACCCCCAATCCCCAACTTAGGGTATTTTTAAGTCAAACCTTGTATAAATTTTCTTAACTTATTGCCTTTATTTCACCAACACACAGTTTCTGGTTTCAGAGACATACAACAAAAATAATCAAGCCAGGAGTGGTGGTGAATGCTTGTTAGATCAGTATTGAGTTGGTGGCAAAAGGATCAAGAATTAAAGGCCAACTATGTAGTGAGTTTTAGGGCAGCCTGGGCTACATGACATTCTTACCTAAATTTTTGTTTTTAAAAGAAAGATTGAATTATACTTAATCTCACAGAAATAATGTACTTGAAAGTATGACAGGATATTGTATTCCTTTAGCTACTGATATGGGTTTCTAACATTTTTAATATAGCGTTACAAATTATATTTTTTCTGTCATGCAGCGAACATTGGTTCTAAAATCTTTTTCTAGTTTTACCCCAAGTCTTTTAAGTTACCACTAGGAGAAAACAAGGAGATATCTATAGGTGATACTTACTTTCTACAAAGCAGACCAAATCTAAGGGAAAATAAATAAAAAGATGTCAAGAAAATATCTTTGATTCCTAAGTGGCACAGCCTATGATGCCTGCTACTCAGAAGGCTGAGGCAGGAGGATAAAATTTTGAGCTCAGCCTGAGTAACCTCCTGAGATTCTATATGAAAATAGTTGAAAGGAGAGCTGAGAATAGAGTACTTATGTTATAGAGCACAAGAGATAGAGCCCTTGCCTAATGTGGAAAATTCAGGATTCAAACGCCAGCACTACAATAAATTATGGTAATTAACAAAAAATTAAATCTTTAATTTTGGTGTGATTACTCAAAATTGATAACTTGTTTTGGTTTAGGACTATTAAAAATAGAGGTGTAAACTTTGCAACCATGTCTTTGTTTCATGAGGTCCTTAGGCCTAACTTATTATGATGTTCTGCTCCTGTAACCTTGCCTATTTTGCCTGACAAATCCCACAGTTAGAAACCCCTAACCCTGAGCTATAAAAGCATTCTTTTCCTCACACTCAGTGATGACCTCTGGAAACACCTTAGGGGTAGACAGCCCAGGTATATGAATTTAAAAGGTTGCAAGAAGGCTTTACAACATTTTATATACTAAAGTATACAAATCCATATTCAATTCATCACATACTTACTGAATTACCACTAAAAACCTGATGCTAAGAGTTAGTAGTGATAGAAACACAAATCTGACTATTTTTTAGTTCCTGCATCAAAGCCCATAGAACATAGTGGCATCTTCAGGACATGTACAAATATAATCCTTTTCCGGTGAGTAACCTCAGGTTTTGTGTGACCAAACTTTAATCGGTCTCTTTCATATACATTTTCTTTAATTTTTGAATTATAATATTGTTATAACATTTCTCCTTCCATTTCCTCCCTCCAAACTCCCCCATATACCCCTCCCTGCTCTGCTTCAGATTTGTGGCCTCTTTTTTCACTGATTGTTATGATATTCATATATATATATATATATTATATATATATATATGTACACATATATTCCTAAATATAACCAGTTCAGTCAATATTATGTTAACTTGAATATTTTCATGGCTGACCATTTGGTACTGAAAAATGATATGTTTTCCCTGGGAAGACCATCTGTTTTGCTCCTAGCTTTCCTCAGGTGACTATATTACTTGTATATGGTTGA